GAGTAAAATTTGGAGGTGGAAAGAGATAAATTAACTAATTTGAGAATGATTTGGATAAAATATTGAAGAAAATTCTTTAAGTAAATTAAAAGGAAGTAGATCTAGAGAACAGGTTGTAGACGACATAGAATTAATAATTTTAGTTAGTTTTAAATGATTTATTGGAGTAAATACAGAAAAAGATTCAGTAGTAAGTTTAGTAAAATTATGAGAAGAAAAATTAGAATTAGATGTTCTTAAAGAAGTAATTTTATTTACAAAAATGTAATGAAACTGTTGAGCAGAAAAAGATGAGTGAGAGGATTTTTTATGTAGAAGTTTAGATAGAACAGACCACCTATTTTTAGATTTTGAAGCAGATGTTATAGAATTTTTAAGAAAAGTAGAGTGTTTAGAGAATAGTAGATATTTATAATTAATCAATTCAGATTCATAGATAGAATAAAAAGAGTTAGATGGATTTAACCTATAGGCTTTCTCCAGTCTTCTAACACTTTTCTTGGCTACTACACAAGCATAATCAAACCAAGGAGCCTTACGAGAATAGAGCCTATAAGTAAAAGATTTAAGAGGAATAAGCTTATCAAGAATAGAAGTAATGTAAATATTAAAAGCATAGACAAAATCATCAACATCAGAAAATAAGGTAGTATCAAAATGCAGGAGTAGAAATGAAGATGTTGGTGTTGATACTAATGTGTTGTCTGCTATTCTGCTTATGGATTTTTTTGCGGAGAAGTTACTGAAGGTGAAGCAGGATACAAAAATTTTAGAATGTCTGGACCCCATCTGTTCAGAGTTTGTAATCAGAGATAATTTGATTTCATTTTCAGCGGCTACTAATGATGATGTTATAATGGTAGTCAAGAAATCAACGGCAAAATCGTGTCAATAAGATATTATTCCAACTGACATCATTAAGAAACATGTTAATCTGTTTGCTCCTTTGTTTGACAAGTTTGGTTAATCTGTCTTTGAGAACTGGTCAATTTTCCGTGGGGTGTAAACATGCTATTGTGCGTCTTCTTTTGAAGAAGAATAATTTTGATCCTGGTGAAATCAGCAGCTACAGACCGGTTTCTAATCTCTGCTTTATCTCTAAGCTTATAAAACGGTTGGTTGCTAAACAGATCCTGGATCACTTGAAGAGTAATAATTTGTTGCCTGTTCATCAATCTGGCTTTAAACAGTGCCATTCTACAGAGACGGCGCTGTTGCAGGTTTTTTCTGATCTTTGTTCGGCAATGGATGTACAGAAGATATCACTCCTGGCCTTCCTTGATATGAGTGTGGCGTTCGATTGTGTTGATCACAGGATTCTTTTAGATAGATTGCAATATGGTTTCGGTTTTTTTGATGGAGTGTTAGAATGGATGAAATCTCATTTGGTTGGTAGATCTCAACAGGTATCATTTGGAGGTAAGATGTCTGACGTCAGTGGGGTTGTCTTTGGTGTGCCACAGGAGTCGGTTCTTGGCCCGTTGTTGTTCTGCTCTATACGTCAGAGGTATTTAATGTTGTTGAATCATTTGGGTTGACAAGTCATGCTTTTGCGGACGATATTCAAATAATAGTTAATAGTACAATAGATTCATTCCCGTTGGATATGAAATGATTTGTAGAATGCTTATCAGCTGTTGAATTATGGATGTCGCAAAATGGCTTGAAATTAAACGGAAATAAAACTAAACTTTTGCCAGTGAGAACATGGCAGCAGTTGTCAAAATTAGAGATAAACTCGATCACAGTTGATGAAGAGACAATTTTATTTTGTAACAATGCGACTAATCTGGGTGTGATTTTTGATTCGAATCCATATTAAGATGGTTTCAAGAGATTGCATGTATCAGATTAGAAGATTGAATCAAATTCGTGGATCATTGAACGTCTCTACGATTCAGACGCTGGTTCATGCATTTGTTCACTCAAGAGTTGATTACTGCAACAGTTTGTATTATGGATTGCCGGACAAGTCTATCCGTGTATTGCAGTCTTTGCAAAATCGTGCGGCTAGGGTTGTGGTTGGCGGTCGATGGGATGATCATGCGACACCTATACTTAAAGATTTGCACTGGCTAACTGTGAATAAAAGAATAATTTACAAAATTTCTATTTTGATGAATAAGGTACTCACAGGTAGTGCTCCAAAGTATCTGCAGGATAAGATCAACAGTGATTTGCCCCGTCTGACCGGGATTCATCTAAGATCATTTGATATTGAATCGGTTGATAGTTCCTGCTACAAACTTATGTATTGGTTCACGAAGCTTTGCTGTTTCAGTACCGACTGTCTGGAGTGGTCTGCCGGCTTCGCTCAGGGACACTTGGTTGATCATGACATACTTCAGAAAGAAACTCAAAATATTTTTGTTTTCGTTACAGTGTAATCTTAATTTTTTGAATTGTTCTATAGTGTTTTTTTTGTGTTTGTGTTGAATTGTTACAGTTTTTTCGCTGCCAGACAATTATTTCTACGTTTAATTTATTTTAGTGAGGACATGTTTAATCTTATGTTTAATTTTGTGCTATTTTTTATTGATGGCGCTTTTGAATGTTAACTAACTAACGCTTGATAAATCTTTTGATAATATATATATATATTGGGACGAGGTTTTCAGCTATGCAGATTTCATTGAATATTTTTGCCCACTTAGCATTAATTAACTTTTTTAAAAATACACTCAACGATATGGAATTGTTGTAAATCGTATTTATTGAGAAATAGTGGCATAATTTGGCTGGCTAACAACGTTGTTTTCGGTGTAAACACCATCTTTAGAGCTTGTGTGAGATACAAATATTGAAATAAATGGATATGTAAACCTATATAAAATAGTACCTAAAATGTTACGTGTTGTGATCAAAAACAGGCGAGATGAAAAATAGTAATATATGAATAAAGAACCATCTCATTTTTGTCGTTTTTGTTACATGAGCACCAACTATCAGAGGCGTCATTTGGGGGGAGGCAGGGGGGGCAATGNCCCCCCCCCCAAGAAATCAGAATTCTAAATTTTTGCTGTACGAAATTATTATGACAACATTGCAAACACTATAAAATAATTATATAAAATTATATAATTTATTATAATTATATATATAAAATATTGTGCTTTTTGAATTTTTAAATGTCAAGCGCTATACAATTTATTTCATTTGTTCCTACAATAATTCATGTTCTGTTTTAAATTATAAAAGTGTTAATTTTAAATTCTTTGTAAAAAGGATATATATAGGATATATAATTTAGTAATTTTAAAACTTTAAAAATTTTGAAATTTTAAAGACTTTAAAAATGTAAAATTTATTATCAACAAGAGTCAGAACAACACTGGAAACAAATTGTGTGACTTTAGTACGCGTGCGAAACTATGCCAATGAGCATAGAGTCTCGTACCAAATCCACTTTTGAGAACTTAAGACGTTTCTGAAACTATGCCAATGAGCATAGAATCACGAATTAAGTCTCTTAGATACCAGAATAGGCACCGATTATTCAAGGCTGCCTAACTGGTGAACCCAAGGCGGACTCTTTTCGAGAACTTAAGACGTTTCCGTGCCAATGAGCATAGAATATCGAATTAAGTCTCTTAGAGACCAGAATAGGCACCGATTATTCAAGGCTGCATAACTAGTCAACCCAGTGCGGACTCTCTTCACTCACTTAAAGATAAGAGAAAGAAACTCTATATCAAAGCAAAATTAGATTTTGTTTCGGGTGTAAAAATTTCCAAGGTATGTCAAATTAATAAAAAAAAACTACTAATTAAATTTTAAAATAATTTGTAATAATTTACGACGTCATCTAAATTGCAAAACAAACAAAAAATCGTGTTGTCACCTATCAAGTAAATTAACTTGCATCAGGCCCCCTATCGAGTGAATAATTTTGCATCAAGCCGCCTATCGAGTGAATTAATTTTGCGTTGAAGGACTTTGAAGTATTTTTAGTTAGTATTATTTCATAATTCTGACACTATATAGTTGTTAAAAAACTGGATGAATTTAGATAATAATTTTTATTTTATTTTTAATAAAGTGAACACTTTCCAGAAAATTCTAGTAAAAAAATTGAAAAGACAAACTTTGAATTGGGTAATGCCAACAACTCGGTAGATTTAATACGATACAGATAAAAGGCCAAAGCTTTCTTTTGGAACAGTTTTTGGTCTTGACTATACTGTATTGTACGTAAATTAATCTAGATAGTAAGAATTAATTAAGTTAGAAATCTGTTCGCTTTTTAAGTTAAATTATAGTGCATCGCTTATCTCCAAATTTGTAATCAGTTTCATGTTAGTTATTTTTAAACATTTAAATCGATGAATTTTATAACTTTCAAATTGTTTTTCACTAAATTTCATAAGTATTAATTTGCCGCAGCACTTTATCGATAGAAAGATAAAAAGACATATTTTTTAATTTATATATAGCAAAAATTTGCCTTTACCATTATTTATTTATAGTGGAAATTTGCAGAAATTTTATGATCATAATAATTTTTTACGTAATTACGAATCTTGTCTAAAACCAGTTTGTTTTATTCATTTGATTGGTGTGGTAGTGATTTGAAAAATTTGAGTTGTACTAGTCGTTGCTGAAATGTATAAATATAGACAGTATTGCTGTCTTGGATATTTTTAGCAATGGATATGCTGTGGATATCCTTGACAAGATTTTTGAAAATGTCTTATCGTTTGAGCTTTGTTGTAGTCATACCGATATATTCTGGGTTGTGGTGCCCACGTTGGCAGAGAGGTACAAATATGTGACATTAAATGAGAATGATAGAATTGCCATGATGAAATTGGAAATCTCTATCTCGTTTGTTTGTTTTATCTCAATTCGTCATTGCAATTTGTTAATTTGCGTTTGGATTATTTTTGTCACTAGGTTAAGTTTTAAACCGGATCTTTTCTTAAGGTCTAAGTAGAACTTTGTACCCCGCATAGAAATTTTTTAATTGTTTTTTTGAGATAAATTTTTATATTTTTTGATTTCTTGATTTGCTATGTGAATTTTTAAAAACTGACTTAAAGAAAATGAAACAAGCAAAATAATATATTTTCAACATGTACATTAATGTTTTTTAAAATTGTAGAATATATTTTACGGAGAAGAAATAAAAAAACAATTACCAAAAGAAACAATATATTATGAAGATGTCAGTAATAAATGGAAAATTGTGTTGTTGCAATTGTTCAAAATTAAAAATGTTTATAGGGCTTGTTATTCTCAAGGTTAATTATTTTTTACCTATTTTAAAATTGTTTTCTATAATGACATTATTTTGTTGGACTATTTTTGCATTGGTATAAAGACTTTTTGGAAAAAATATTAGTAGAAAATATTTCCATAAATTTATTCTTTTGAGACCTTTGAAATATTTTTATACAAACTGATATCTTTAGTTCAGCTAAGAATTTTTGTAACAATTTTTTAAATGTTTTGATTTTAATAAATATGAAATGATATAACAGATTTGTTAACTAAGAATTTTCAACCATGTAAATATAAAATGTTACTCTTTGTTGGGTAAGATTGACGTAAAAAAGGGATTTCACTTTTCACCCAATTATGTTTGTAAATTTATTTTAGATTGTATAAATGGCTAGAATGTATAAACATCATGCATTGGTGTTTGTGTGATTTATATAGATTGATGAATACCAACGTTAGATCGCAATTAATTATGACAATAGTTTTTAACAAAGATCATTGCCATTACCACATATTTTTAAATTAATTAAGTTATTGTTTATCGCAATGAGCATGGGTTTATAGGCCGCCTCCAACACAATTAATAACAAAATTTTACGTAATGGTTTCCAATCTGAAGTTTCAAGGATTGTATCATACTTGAACGTCATTTATCACAAAAAATTTAGTTTTTTCCTGTTGTGCCACAAGGATAGCTTCTTAGCCCACCTTTATCTTTTAATTGTTAATATAATCAAACAATCAGGAATATTTTTCTATTACGTCAAATAGATTTGTTTTTATATACATCTCTACCTCCTCTACCTTCAAACTTTAATTTGCACTAACATGTAAATCTATTTTCATAAATTTCAACACCTATCAAACACAGACATTGCTTACTTAAACAGAGGTAACAGCAACTCTATGAAATTTAATCGAAAACTCATTAAAAAACTCTGTACATTCTACCACACCTTCATATAAGGTTTACCTTAAACCTTATTTCAAACATTGGCACTTGGCGTGACCCTCAGCAGGCATTACTTTAATAGCACTATCAATTCACCCGACCACCACATTTGAGCCATTTGCCATATTTGAAATTTCAAATTTTTTAACATTTGATATTTTTTCTACCTTGTTGTCTCATTCTGTCAACGTTACCGAAAACTGAAACTGAAATTAGGAAAACGAAAAAATGGGTATAAGGAAACGAAAACGAGTACGAAAACAAAAATATTTAAAATTTGAAACAAAGTTGAATCAAAAAATTAAAACGAAAACTAAACGAAGAAAAATTTGAAACGAAAAATTTGTGTGCTGTTACATATTTAGTGTTTTAGTATATTTTAAAAATTTTCAAGATCTAGTTTACATTGTTTAACTTTGTTTTGAATTTAATTTTTATTTCTTTGTTATCGATTGTTATTTCTGTTTTGTCATTTGTTTGTGATCGTTGAACATTGAGTAACGAAGTCGTCGCTTATTTTTTTCGACATTTAACACAGTGATTTTGATTAATAATTTCAACAATTGTTAATTATAAATAAATTAAAAAATGAGTAAGCTTCATCGAAGTGGGATTGTTTCGATTTCATATTGAAAATGATGCATGCGCGTGTTTTTGCATTTTCTCAATGTACATTTTTACATATAACAATAGAAAACAGATGAATCCAACTTTTAAAAAAAGAATCTATTTTAAATTCAACAATTTTTTGATAAACGAGGTATAAAATCTTTGTATATTATTGTATGGCACAGTAATGAATGCTGCGTATATTATAAAATATTACGTCCGTGGCCATAGCATATTTTTTTTACTTTGTCCGCTCTAAATGCCGCTGTATTTATTATGAACTTTACCAGGTTCGCGATAAATTAATACTGCGACAAAGTTTTTTACTTCGCCTGCCACAAGTACCCATATATTCAAAAAATATACTAGGTTCTAGGCTCGACATGTTTTTTACTTGTCGATGGTAATTACCGCTTCATACTCTATAATTCACTAGGTCTGTCCCTGGTAAATATTGTGGCTTCTCTGGCAAAACATCCTAGGTGCATTTTGCACAATTTGTTTCTAAGAAAAAAAGGGAAATTTAAATTTTTACATCGTTTACAAATTGGAAGATATATAATGTTCTTTAAAATTTTTTGAAGTTTTATTTATTGGTATAATATTCCAAATAAGCGATGCCTATTTTTCAACAATTCATTAGCGACATTCACCTATTTTATATACTTTAAAATTATATTTTTTTTGATATAATAAAAAATAGTTTTGTTTTTAAAAACATTATTAAAATTAATAATGAATAATTTAAAAACTGAAACTTAAACTAAAACGATCAATGTTTGAAACAAAATCTACTATAATTTATGGTTTGACAAGTAATGCCCATCATTTGTTTCTCAAGAAATTACAGTATGTCTAGAATAAATTGATTAACCTTGTTGTTGGCTTAAATATGGAAATATGGCACCAAATTACGCCTCCGAATTGGTCGGACGGACATTAACGCTCGTCAAACCTTGTCAAAGAATTTTTTTATTTGTTTTTTATGTAAAAAATTATCCTCTTTCCTTCAAAATTTTAAGTCTAAAATTTATTCATTTTCTTATACAATAGGGTTTTTAACTATCTTCCGCACATCCTTACTCTGTTTTCTCAAATGTTCATAGCTAAATCAAATATGGAATGGCTTGCCACTAGAATTAAAATACAGCATACCACTCTCAATTTTATAAACGTAGTTAAAAGTCTTTGTTTGAGAATATAGGCTCCAAGCGTCTTTGAGGCAGTTGTGCGTTTGCGCTAAATAAGTTTGTTAATAATGATAATGAGAACTTTTTTATTTCTTCATTAAAAAATAATTGGATGTAAAAAAAAGAAAAAGAAAAAAGCCTAATTAATACTGAAAATAAATGCTAATAATGTGAATAAAATCGCATTTTTTCTTTTAGTATGTTTTAATTTTTAGAAACATAAATACAAAGTAGTTTTACATTTCCTGATTTTCAAGTGTTGTTTAAAGTATTTTTTATTTAGTGGTGATTTTTAAATTAAATTATGATGCAAAAGTTGAAAAATTTCTCTTAGGAGTTGGAAACCAGAGTTAAAAACTTCTACCCATAGGGCCGGAGTTGGAGTCGGATATATTTTAACCGACTCCGGCCATATTTCAAAGCCGTTATCTATACCAACTCTCTGTGTTACAGTTTTGCATATTGACAGTTTGAGTCATCTTAATTATTGAAAATGTCACTGTAGAGTTTTGTTGTTGACTCCTTGACCGCCTGAATTAATTCTACCGTTAAGAACTTTTGGACTTAAATAAACCCTGTTTTATATTTTTTTCAATTCAAACAAAACGTAATATACAAACATTGTCACATGTATGTCACATCGCGTGGCTTTAAAATGTTTATTGTTTATTACTGGCTGTTGATGGTTTAATGCGTAAATGTTTATTTGTTTTATTTAAGGTCTTTATGAGATGTTGATTAAAATGAAGCAAAGACTTGAAAATATAATGAATTCTTTGGATATGTTTTTAGAAATAAAACGTCAAGTATTTCCTAGGTTCTATTTTATTTCAAATACCGATTTGCTAGAAATGCTGGGCATGTCTAAAAATCCTCTCGATATGCAATACTACATCAGAAAATGTTTTAGCAACATTCACACATTAACAATGACAAAAGTATTTTTTATTACATTTTATAGTTTTGCTTATTATCGCTTGAACATCAAAACATTTTATTGAAATGTTCAATTTTACAAAAAGATAAAATAATTTTTATAGAGTTTTTAAAATCCTTTATTTTAATGTTTTTTATTTTATTTTCTGTAAAAATTTTGATCTAGTTACCAATGGATTTCATTAGTTTGTTTGTATAGTTGTTATATATACAATTATGCTGCTTAAAGGTTGGACTTTCTCAGAAATGGGAAGCAACTCATATGAATAGTTCTGACGGTGAAAGTGTAATGCTGAATAGTTCTATCAATTTGGATACTGCGGTTGAGGTTTTTAAGACAGCTTATTTATTGCAAGTTTTAATAAAAACCGTTTTTTCTAATGAAAATAAACCTTGCTTTGTTTGATTATTTAACAGTTTTTTATGTTTATCATCAATTGCGGGTTTTTATAAGTAATCTTCAATAGCGTATTCCTTCATTATATAAAATCTTGTCAATAGATTGCATGTAAACAAAGTATTTGGTTTTGTTTTTAATAAGTTCTGGCTTTTAGAAGTCGAAAGAGTTATGAAAATAACCATGAAAGAAGAGCTTAAGAAGTGCAAATCAAGCTTGAGGAAACATACAAATAAGAAAGATAAATGGATCAAAGAACATCCAGGACAAGTATTTATTTACTTTAGATATGCTCCACAAGTTATTTTTATGCATGTGGTTTAATTCAAAACTTCATTGTTATGACTTAGCAATAACTGAGGTAAAATTTTTAGTGTTGCAATTTGGCGAGTCAAATTCAGTGGACTGCTGACGTCACAAGAGCTCTTATTCCTACCAAAGAACATGCAGATAAAAAATCATTAAAAGTCATGAAAAAAAAACAAGTAATTTTGCCATTATAACTTTAATATTTATTTAGTGCAGTATATTTTTGCTTCAATATTATGTATAGTGATTGTTAAATTTGTTTTTAGTTTGTTAATCATAATTTTCTTAACTGTTCTTTAACTTTGAAAGTAATTAATGATATATTAGCTTGCCTTTCTCCATTTTTTTTATTCCCTTCTCTGTCGTCTTTTTGTGTATTCGCCTTTCTGTCACGTTGTCACGCTGTGATCTTTTTTGTAATTTTTACCCGTTTTTGATACTCATAGCCAATTGAAATTTTCAGGGTAATTATTTTTATTCTTTATAATGCAGTTGCGTCAAACGGAAAGCTATTTACACTTTATTCTACACTTGAAATTAAACTTTCCTGCCACAAAGACTGTACTAAACACAAACCACGACGCACATACACATCATATATGCACGCGCAGGCACCGCGTCATACGCATATGATGATGTTTGAGTTTCAGACAGGCAGCATTCGAACTATGCCATCGCGTATTAGCAGGGCGCGACATGGCACTTCTTTCTACAGACTGAGCTATCCAAAAAGCTTATCTTATTCAATGTGTATTAATTATATGAAATGATATTTAGTTAATTAATCAATTTTATCGCCTTTTCAATTGAATAAGTGTGGATTTTTTTTACTAAAGTGCTCTGGTGAATAAGTTTCGAATATTTACAATAAACGCGGTGAGTAAAATTTTCCGATGACAATGTAAGAATTTTATCAGCGACTTAATAAAATTGATAAATAAAATTCAATAATGAATGTAAACAATGATTGTAAACAACAAATGAAAAAATTTTATTCTAATGAGGGTTTTTTAATTTTTTAAACGTGTTATTATTTAATATTTTTTAACTCAAGACAATTGATGTTACAATTTTTTTAAGGCCATTATGTTGAACAAATTTTCTGAAGTGATTCGAAGCAGTGTGTCCAAAATTCAAAGACTTAAAGTGGTTGCTCACGTAACTATTGCCATTCATGCCAGAGATGTTTTAGAAAGGCTTATTAAAAATAATTGTTCCGATCCTCAATCTTTTGAATGGTTAAAAGAATTGCGATCCTACTGGGATAAGGAGTTGAATGAATGTTTAATGAAGCAAACGAACACAATCTTTCAATATGCTTGGGAGTATATTGGAAATTCCGGAAGATTAATTTGTACTCCGTTAACTGATAGGTTAATAGTTAATATATTTATATATATATATATATTATATATATATATACATATACAATATATATTATATTAAAGCCGTAGTCAGGATTATTTTCCGGGGGCTGTCGGAATATTTTTTTACTTTTTTTTTATAATAAAAATTCAAGGAAAAAACAAAAAATCCAATCAAATCAGCTTTTATTTATAAAATAAAAAACCCAACAAAATTATATAAACAAAAGAATTTTGAAAACAGATGGGTCTTGAGATCCGCTCTGAAGTTCGCAAGTGATGGAGAAATAGTTAGAGAAGTAGGTAGAGAGTTCCAGAGAAAAGGACCAGAAAAAGCAAAAGCAGATTTGGCAAAAGAGTGTTTAACACGAGTTAAGAAAAAGCGAGAAGAAGAAGACGATCGTAAACCGGGGCGTTTAGGTTCAATTAATATATCTGATAAGTACTTAGGAAATAATTTAGATTGAGACTTATACATGAACGTGCAAATTTTAAAAATTATTCTATATTTTATAGGTAGCCAGTGCAAGAGAACAAGATATGGAGATATATGAGAAAAGAAAGGGGCACGAGCAACTAGACGAGCAGCAGAGTTAAAAGCTTTACTTAAAGGATAGAGTATAGAGTCAGGAAGACCATAGTAGAGCGAGTTACAATAATCAATCCTAGATAAGACTAACGAAGTAACAAGAAGGAGAAGAGTAGGATCATCAAGAAAAGGCAAAAGTTTTTTTATTCTACGTAGATGAAAGTAAGAGCTTCTAGCAACACTATTAATCTGAGAAGAGAGAGACATAGTAGAATCAAAGATAAAACCTAGACTACGAAACTTATGAGAGACATCAAGAGTTTTAGAATCAGGTAAGATAATAGGAGGAATAGTAATTGAGTGTTTAGATTTATTAAAACAAATTAATTCAAACTTAGAAGGATTAAGTTTAAGACACATAGAATCAGACCAAGCGATAA